CTCCCTGCTGCTGTTCTGGAGCAGTGGCATCCAAAAGCATCCTACTGGGATGAATTATCACTCTTCACAAGACAGGAACACTCTGCTGTTATCACATTATCACCCTCCTCACCTTAACAGAGGGGCTGCGTCACAAGGCTGTGCACTGCTGGTACACGTATTTGCTGGCCTTTGCCGGGAAGATGGGGAAAAACCACCTTTATTACAGTTAAGTGATGGCTGACAGATCTGCTCGTGGTACTAGAGAAATCCACTGACACAACGCCACTGCCAACTGACCCCCCGCTGACACCAGTATCAACAGTGAAAATACCCGTCTGTTCAGCAGCATCACAGGGGAGAGAAACACAGCGTGTACCAGGACAACGGCTGGTGTGCCCCGTGACTGCGGTGTGTCACATCAACCTCTGAAACACCACCCAGAAACTACGCTGCACTGCTCGAGCCAGATGGTTTGGCCAAGCCCATCACACTACCTCACTACTCAGCTGGAGAAGAAAACAAACCACCCCCCCATTCAAGTGGGGTGTTTTTCCTTCATAAATCCAAGTGGCTCTAACCTTCTGGCAATTGAATATTACCTGAATGCAGTGGGGTTTGTCCCTCATACAATGGCACAGCACGAAGGCAGACTACAGCGCACAGTTCCCAGAGTAAGAATTACCAAACAAAAGTCCACCAACAGACATAGCAGGATGGCAGTCTTAAGAACGACAAACACGAGTGTACCAATGAAACAGGTATTAGTAAACACCGGGGCATCCCATTATCCAGACATGGCCTCTTGGGATGTTTCTAGAAATTCAGTGCAAATAAAAAAAGACCCTCCGAAAAAGGCAAAGGCGGTTGCTCTTTGAACAGAAAGGGAAACAAACCACAGATAAAGACTGGAAATAATTTACTATAAAGCCCATGAGAACAGCAGCCAACTATCGGACAAAAGTAAGCTGTTCCATCTCTTAACAAAGCGGTATTTTAATTTACGATTTCCTTTTCGCCGGAAAACTGAAAGAGATCAGAAGCAGTGGCAGGATCGTGGAGTCTCTCTGAAGCTAAGGCTGATCTGACTATTCAGAGAAATGCTTTGACTACTCCAGCAAAAATCAGAAATCCCGTCGCAGTTTGTAAATGTGGCAGAACAGATGGAATGTAAGCAATGTGTACTTCACCTAGGAGTAAGTGCAGCAACAAAGCTAAGGATCAACTACGAGAAGCTGTACAAATGGGAACCACCAACTTCCCTGCTAGCAAATGATGCACTCGAAGGAGAAGACTAAAGGAGGGGGAACTGGTAACAGGCATAGTGCTACGGGAACGTCACTGCACCATCAAACTAAGTCTTAGCAACGCGTAACGATGGACCGTGTGAGCCTCACCTTGTTTTAAATGATCCCTGACAGCGCTCGCATCTCTAATTCGGATGATTCAGTACTCGGTGATGTTTTGTGATCGGTTCAACCGCCAGCATTCATTCACTCACTGCACAGGGTGCTTCTCTTGGGTCTTCTGGGCCCTGGTCGCAGCAATTTAAATGCCAACTTTTCCACGTGCTTGCTTGACAAAGTTAAACCGTCATGAACAGGGGATGCACTTGTACTCTTCTAGGCTGGAATTTAATTTCTTTGTTTCTGTAAAACACATAATCCTAATACATGCCTTACCTTTAAAAAGTAAGATTAGATATCAGGAAGAAGCTCTTCCCGGAGAGGATGGGGGGCACTGGGACAGGTTGCCCAGAGAAGCTGTGGATGCCCCATCCCTGGGAGTGTCCAAGGCCAGGCTGGATGGGGCTTGGAGCAACCCGGTCTAGTGGAAGGTGTCCCTGCCCATGGCAGGGGGTGGGACTGGATGGGCTTTAAGGTCCCTTCCAACCCAAACCAGTCTGTGATTCTAAAAAACAAACGAACAAAGAACCCCCAAGATGTTTGTTCCAATATTTTATTACAGAAAAAGTTGATTGTCCATTGGAAATTTTTCACAAAGTGCAACCACATCTTGTGTAGTATCACTGACAGGCTGTTTTGTCTGAGGCTAGCTGGGGTAAAACCACAGCGGTACCTCAGAAAGCTTAGTTATGGCACTGTGACAGAGAAGCCGCCGAGCTGAGTGAGGAAAGGCAGCAGACATTTAGCGGTCATGAAAGCAGATGACTTTCCACGCACCTCCTTGTAGTACTGTGAAAATAAGGAAATAGCAAGCGCTATGATCACCACCCTACTTGGTGAAATTAGTTTTAAAGACTGTATCCGAATTGCCCAAAATGCGTTAGTGTGAGTCTGATGAGACTCAGCCGCACAACCCGTAGAAAGCAGGATCCAGCGCCTGTTGGGGGACTTGTAGAACACCAGTGACCTGAAGTATCGTTTGGAAGGTATTTATTAATATACCTACAGATATACACACACCTAAGTCATACTGTGCTCGGGCCTCTTAAATCATTACAAAATACCATCTGCTGGCGTAACACTGAGAAGTGCTGGGGTCGCAAAGACTTAGAGAGTTTTAAAAAGGAACTTCGGTTGTTTCGGAGTAGAGCTAGGAACTGTGCTGCCAGAGCAAGACTGGCTGGTGAAGAAGTTCTGCCAGGCTACCCCGTTATTCTTACTACCATACCTAATTATTTGCTAAGTGTAAAGCATGGAAAAAGGGAAAAATGAAAGACAAAAAAGCTACTTGATAACAGTATTTTGTGTTTTACAAAGCAACTCTCAAGTCATTAGTCCTAAACTAAAAAAACTCCCAAACACTTAAAAATTTAAATAAGCTATGTAGCACAAGACATAGCTGCAGGTCACTGGCAACTTAATGGCTCAAAACAACCCAAAAACCCCCAGTCAATCAGCTGGCTGAATTTCAACAAAGCTGTCCCCCTCCTTTTAACTACAGAGGGAGAAGACCCGGCCTACTGCAACTGCAGATTTCTGAGTGACTAAACCGAGTATCGGTTCTCAAAAGTTGGGCTATAGCTGTAGCCTAGCAGCTGCTTTTGTATTATTTGCATACCATTTTGCATTGCTTAATTATTTAGTTCAGAAGAACCCAAATGGATCAAAAAAGAAATCATGTTTGTTTTGTAACATGAGGAAAACCACAGAACCTGCATTTCCACACCTTTCTGATCATAATCTGAGCTGTCATCTCTATACCATAAAGCTGTAAGAAGAAAAAAACCATTAAAATATATCACATTTACAGTTCTGTCTGGCCTCTGTTCATCTACTGAGATGAGAACCAATGTCCTCTAAACAACAAGGGAGCTGCAAACCCAGAACACATGACAAAATGGTAAGTTAGTTTGAGACCAAGAAATGGACCGCACAGTCAGACACCTACAGACCCTCCCTAGCTCCCCTACACATTTGGATTAGTAGTAGATAACAAAAGTCACACAGTTAAACCTGAAGAAATACACAATTTTCATTTTTCCACCCGAACAGGCAAGGGCCTGTTCAATGCCGTGTGGCAGGAAAGGTTACCTTAATCCTGAATTCAAACAAATATAATAAAAACTAAATAAAACCAATCATCTGGAACGTTCAGCCTTACGTACAGAAACCAAAGACGAGTTAGTCTGCCTCCTGAGTACCTAGCTAATGAATCATTATTTAAGTTTTTACTACTCAGTGAAACAAGAAGTTTAGTGACATCTTTTATTTCAGAACAAGCACTCAGTTAAGTCACAGTTTCCCACTTTTGATACTGAAATATTCCACAAAGTCAACCATTACGGTTCAGTTAGGACCTTTTACCCAAAACATTTGGATTTTAGCACCTTCAAGAGTGAAAGTAACATCTTAGTAGTATCAAATGAAGACAGTTAATGCTGTGCTCATCCTCTGGAAAATGATGTGGACCGTGCGTACCAGGTGCATTTAGTCCTTAAGACGTAGTAAGGCAGAAGGGAAACAAGTCTAAGCGATACATTTGACTGAATACAATCTGAGGAATAAGATGACCTTCCCAACGGTACAAAGTCTTCTGAGGAGAGATGGAATTTGCTCCCATACATCAAACTTCATAGTACTTAGATCAAATGTTCATTTACAATCAACCATGTTGGGGAGGAATCTGTACCCAAAACACTGTAATTGGTTATTAAAGATCAGTGATATGTCTAACTAGTGCATTTGCAAAGCTTTAAACAAACCCTTAAACCAATAAACCAAATCCATTTCAGAGTTAGAGCCGTGTCTCCTAGCTCCCTGTCAGGTAAGGGGGCATACACAGCATTGCTTCCATAGGCACAGCTCTTTGGCAGGAGCAGCAACCCAAACAGCACGAGCCTGACTTCTCCCTTCCCCAACACTGCTCGTGTGGGTACTGTAATTCCATTAACATCCCAGCAGTGCCGCCAGTGGGTACAGAATCTCCTTTCTGCACTGATGTGGAGTGCCCCAGCCAAATATCTGCCTTAGCTTCCATCATGCTTCTAAGCATTTCCGTGGCTTTGTGGGAACACACGGAACGGGGTTTGTTTATTTTAAAGAAATGGGTAGTCTAAGCAGACAAGTCCTAAACGCCGACATTTCAGGCATCTTTGGCCACTGTCACGCTACTCTTTGCAGTTTTAGGCAGTTTTGTAAACAGAGTCTGGCAAACTGGCTTCCAGGTGAATCTTTTTTGCACAGTCCCCTGCTAACTTCCGCTATGAATCAAGGACCAACTTGCATACCCAAGGTGGACGCGGCAACCACGGGTGAACATCAGTGGATTTGGCGACTGCGTTTCTCTTTTTCCACTTAAGTCTGTGATGTCAGACACACAGATTCGCACTGTAATTTTAAACAACAAAAGCATAAAAAAATTACAAACTGAAAGTAGCCAGTTGTGGCTATTAAACATTACCTGTCCTGTAACTAAACAAACGGCCAATATTAATAATTAAACTGGTGTATTTCAATGTAAAGGTCCTTTAACCTTAGTATCTCTGCTTCTTTCCTTCCCCACACTCCCCGCCCCAGTAAAGCCAAGAACTGTATGGGAAATTAGTTTCCCTTCAAGGAACAGCGGAGCAGTATTGTCTGGTTATCGTATCTGTCATAGCTCCTCTCTCTGCTTGGTTGCTCGGTTGTCCTCTTCGACGCTACTAGATTTCTTGTCCCCGTTTTTTTTCTTCTTTGCTTTTTCAGGTTTGGTTTTGTTTTTCACTTTCTCACTTTCTTCTGCTCCTTTGCCGGGATAAACCTGACCTTCCAAAGTAACATCCGCACACCTTTCTTGACTTATCAGAAAGTCTTTGATCTCCCAGGCATAGCCGCCATCACGCAGCATAAAGATGGCACGATTCGAGCCAACGATGAACCTAGAGGAAAGATCCATGTTTTTTCAGTTAGCTCCATGCCTTTCTCTACAACATTTTGCTTAATTCAGAGCACCTCCACAACTGAGGCATACATTTAAGAGCAAGAAGTTGGTTTGTCATTGTTGCCTGGGGACAAGAGAACAATTTCACCGCACACGTGAGAATTAATTGTATTAAGTTTACAAATAGTCAAGGAGGGGTAAGAAGACAAAGAAGACTTAAATATTAAGTTTTATGATCATAATAAATATATATAATTTTAATAATTTTATATAATAAAAATAATTTGACACTACGTAAAATTCCCTAATGGGCATTAAATTTGCTTTACACACTTGCTGCAACCCTTCTCCTCCTCAATTCTAGGGTGCCACATTCCTCTGTTTCAAAGTGATCCTGTCTCTGAGAAAGCCACATTTTTAGTCAAGTCACCACAAAAGGCTTTTTGTTCCCAAGTCTTCCAAGTGTGATGTTTTCCATCAAGCACATAAAGGCAAACTACTGCAGCTAAAGCTGATAAATAGCTGAAACATGGTGAGCTAAAAAGCAACTAGGCTATACGTACATCACGCATAAGTGCTGTGCGCCACATCCGAAGTTTTGCAGCATGTCTTAAAACAAACCGACACATGGAAACAAAGAAATAGTGTCAGACGAAAGGGAAGGGCACAGGATGAACAGCTGACGAGACGTGCAGGAAGAAACAACGGGTCTGTAAAAGCAAGACCTCAGTCCGTGCATACAACAGCCTACCTTTGCACGTCATAGTTCGCATTGAAGAGGCCGCCCTGCCACAAGCTAGTAATTTCTTCCGTCTCCTTTTCTGTGGGATTTCCCGATACAGTGACAAACATCATCAAAGTCTTCCCCTTTTTCGTCAGCTTCAGGATACTTTCAGGCTTGCCTGGATCAATTTTTGAGAAGTCTATCGGTGCTGGAGGTCTCTTGTGTTCAGGAAGATCCCCCTCTTCAATGTCATCATCCTTCTGTTTTGAAAAGGAAAAGGAGGCTTTAAACTCAGCTGTTCCACATGGGAACCTCCATTGTTTAGAGAGTAACTCTGCTTTGACACAGCAAAAGCGTTGTGTAGTTTAATGATGGAGATAACCAAAATAAATGGTGGGATTTGTCTCAAGATACTTCACCAAGAGCACTCTTCCCGTTTATAACCCTCCCTTCAGAATGCCGCACGCATGTACCCTCAGGTAGATTAGCCACAAGGCTAAGTCAGTACAACTCCACCTCGGTACTTCATACACTCAACACCCCTTTTCCTTCACAGTTTCACAGAAATTTATGAAGTATACAAGATGGACTGGGAAAGTTGCATTAAGAAGCCTCGTGCGCACGTAAATAAAAAAGCCATCCATCTGCGTATTGCTTTCAGGGTCAAAACTCACTTCTGGGAACCATGCGATCGCTTGAGAACTTAAATTTTCCTTACTCTGTGTCTTTAAATAAATAAAAAGGCAAGAATTAAGAATTTCAATGCTTATGCCACAGAAAAACTTTTATTAAGGGTTTCATGACTTCTCTAATGCACAGATGAAGAGCAGCTCACATTCTGACAACATAATAACCACGAGTGAATTGCTGTTAGAAAACAGGAAAAAAAAGCTCTTGATACCTCTTGGTTATAAATATAAATTTACGTGTGTATATATATGTATATAAATATTTGGAAAGGCAGAATTCAAACTGCTGCCCTTTAAAACAGCTCCCGACACAGAGGAGTGAATATAGTGACACCATGACATTGAGACAGAACTCTATTTTCAGACAGAATTTATATCACAGAATTAAAAAGAAAACCCCCCAAAAAAACCAACCCAGAAGTCTCACCCTGGCATCTACCTAAGCACT